CAATATAAGCCATGCCTGTGCAGTTCTGAGCTCCACCCGCTCCCTACAACCACAGTAATTTATTAGCATGCCTTTTTATATTGATTTTCATTATGGTAAATAACTTGCCCATTTGTTAGTACTAAAATTTTTTTGTAAATAATTAGGAATTGCAGTGTGCTGTCTCTTGAATTTTATAGACACCTTGTTAACAAAAGAGTTTGCATGAATTTCAGATTCTTCTAGTCTTCTGCTAAGTAATCTGCAGTTTCATCACTATGGCATTGCAATGTGGAGTTAACTTTGAATTCTGAATCATGAGAGTAGTTTGTGTTGGAAGGGGCATTTAAGGAACATCTAGTCTAACTGCCCTGTCATTGGCAGGAATTTCTTTCCCTAAACCAGATCAAAGCCCCATACAGCCAGTCCCAGTGCAGTAGTATGGGTGTGTTTGTGTATATGCACACAGTTGCACACCAGTGCTGCTTCTTTCTTGTACAGTTGTAGACAGCACCTTTCTGGGTAGAGGTCAAACTGCAGAGGCCATGATAGTGAAGAGGTAGTTGTACTTGATTTGACTTGATTTTTCTTTCAGTTTGTACACATGTTCCTGAAAGGTAGTTGTCAGCTCCAAATAATTTTTATCCTCAGACTTAATGTATTGTAGCAATACTTTCTTCTCAGACATCAGATCTTACTACCTACACAAATTCCTAGTTTAGAATAAAAGAAGTTCCTAACAACTAATATACTGATTTATCTGGTAGGATATTTCAAAAATTTGTCATTTCAGTTGCTGAATTCTTGTACCACAGGAAAGTGCTTGGGATTTTTTTTATTAGGTAATGAAAAAAGAGGCCCAACTGTAACAAACTAAAACCAGCATATTTTTATTGCAGCCATTATTTAGAAGATATCTTAACAGTAAGATTGCCTTTTGGAAGGCAGGTGTAGAAGACTTGCATAGAATGATCCTTTCTGCTCATATAATAATGATTAGGGAGTCTGAATAACAGACTAACATGCTGAATAACATGCTTTATCCAGATTGATAGTGCTGGAATAAACTATACTACTTCTTCATCTGAAACGTGTAGCAGTAGCTCTGAGCTAACTTATGGAAGTCACAATTGCTAACCAAGGAATTTAGTTGATGCATTTCAGTTTAGAATGACTCCTTCCCCAGAACATTTTTGTGAAGTGCTGGTCCTCCCCTATGCAGCTAGCAGTGAAAGTTCTCAGTGAGTTGTACACAGAAGTCTTTTAGATAGCGAAGTAAAAATATTGAAGCCCACCAGGTGGTGCCAGAAGGCCTGATCACTGTGGCTCTGACAGCAGGAACAGACCTGAGAAGGTGCAGACCTGCCATTTTTGGCTGAAATTGTATCCTCTAAATACAAGCAACGTGTGCTATTACCCTTCCCCTCCTTCCAAACGTCTCTATACCTAAAGCATTTCCTCAGCAGATACTTCCTTATGTGTTCATGATGGTAAAATTTAAATACGCTGTTTAGGAGTGAGGCTCTTAAAATTGTGAGCTTGGTGTCAGCATTAATTATCACTGGTTTTGTGCTAACATCTCTCTTCACTGCATAGCAGAGCCATGAAGCTTTCACAAAAATGCTGTAAACAGCATTGTGCCATGTGTTGCAGTGAAATGGATGCAATTTCATGGAAATACATACATGAATGTTAAGTGAAATTTAAGCTACAGAATTATTTTAGGTGGTTACACTTACTTTCATGGAGTTAAAAACTCATATAAACATTTTAATGTTTGTAAACAATTAAGTTTATAGAAAGGGGATAAGATACTTCACAGTAAGAACTGAAGTCTGTGCATATTGTTTTTTCCATAATTTCTGTTTATACTACAAAATTTTTTTTTTTCATGAGTTTTATTTTTTCTGTTTTTATGTTGTATCTTTCTGCCTATATTGGTAGTATGATTCCACTGTTCTCAAATAGAACTGGTATGATTGACAATCTTTAGTGCTAGTGTTTTTAATCTAACACTTAAAAGCCTCTGAAACACTGCACTAATTAGTCTACTGTCAAATTAAATAGTTATCTAATTTTCACACTTTTTCCTAAAGTATGCCTTTGTGTAGAAAGGCTTGTAAAAACAGATGAACAACACACCTAGGCTGGTGAGAAGCTCACAAGTCAAAACAATGTTTGTATTTTAAGTGAAACCTGCAGCCGCACTGATCGTGACCTGTGCTGTTGGGTGCTGGGGAAATGGGTGTCTGTCTGACAAGGAGGCAGTGGCACTTCTTTTCCCAAAGTTACTGGCAGTCTGTAAAGTTGCTTTGGATGTGTCACTTTGTATCCAAAAAATCCCTACTTATGTTGGATTTGCTTTAGTGTGTTTGCCGCTATCAACAGAATGACTTTAAAAAGTTTATTGTTTCATAGGTCATCTTACATATTGCCAAACAAGGAATATCTGCTCTTTCTACACAGAGCAGATTATTGCGACTGGGTGCATCAGAAGTGTGTTTTGGTTTTATGTTTCCTACCTTTATGTGAAGCAGGACATTTCTTGAGACTTGCAGTAAATGATTTTTCATTTTTATGAGTTAATGATCTTCTCTTTTTAATTTTCCTTTTTGATTTTACTTATTAGGAGATCACGATACTTTCATGTTGGCATTAAATCTGATATTTTGTCATTTTTCACTTTTAAGAACCTTAAGTTGTACAGGGTTTTGTGTATTTGTAATTATATAAGTAAGACTTAATTTATATATTCTTAAGATTCAGAGTGTTCTTAAATTGCATCAGTTTGTTTTCAGAAAATGAGGTTTTATGCCTTCTTGTTAGTTACTTCAGAACTGTCATTATGCAACTGAAATGTAAATTGAATTTGGAACACTAATGTTAGGATAACATGAGTTTCATCTTCAGTAGGGCTTTGAACTGGTAACAGTTACTGGCTTAGTTTCTAGAAAACAGTTTTACAGCTGGATCTGGTTTTAACTTCAGTACCCTTGTGTCCATTCATTGGTTCAGAGAGCATGGTGAAGCACTTAATATTAAGTGCTAGTAAATGAACTGTGTCTTTAAAAGGATTATGAATAAATTTTCTGTCTATGAAGCATGGTAATGATTTGGGATATTCTATTAAAAAACTTAACTAGTAGAAAACTGTATCTTTCGTCTATTACTTTCGTCTAGTACTTTTTATTTTTACTATGAATTGGAAATATTGTGAAGGAGAAGTGTATATTACAGGTGTTACAAAATGCCTCCCTTGAATAACAGTTCAGCTTACTGTAAAAGGTTGTATTATTATAATTTTTATATATAATATAAATTTATAAATTATAATTAATTTGTGGAGATGGTTATGGTGATTTGGTTTATGTTTTGGAGGGATTGTTCTTTTAGTTTTGTGGGGATTCTTAAATCAGAAGATACAATACAAGATTACCATTACTTCTCAACTAATAGCTTTGCTGGAGAACAGTTGATCTCTTGTATTTTTATGCCATACCTGTGAGACTGAGTATGGTAGTATATCACAGCAGTGCTATAAATTTAGAGTTGTTTTTTCATAATCTGTGATGCTTCTATGTTAATGTGTTTTGATCCATAGGAGAATACATCTGAGTTCAGTAGAAAAAAATCATCTTTATGCTGTATTTCTAGTAAAATAGTTAAGCAAACTAATTGCTTCCTATTGGAATATTGTTGAATATTGTTGCCATGGTATCACTTAGCATTGTTGGGTATACACTGGTAGATTTCAGGATGAAATGAAATGTGGGAAACTAGTACATTTCTGTAAATATTTTTTTAATTTCACAAGTTCTGTGAATTCCTGACTGTAAATTGCTTTAGTTCCTTCTAAAAAGAAAGATTACTGCAGATTACTCCCTACCGATATTTCCTAGGTGTATTGTTCTTTGTTGCTGTATTGTTTGAAGCAGTTAATGCATAAAATTCATTAAAGAATTGCCAAGTGTTAGATGTAAATGCATTTTTCTGTGTAATAATTTTACCATACCTCAAGGTATGTCACCTTTATGTTCTCTTATTCAGTAAGGCACTAGCTTATGCTATGTTTTTTTCCCATGTCTGGATCACTGGTTAGAGGCATTCTTCTTGTTTACCCCTGTATGAAAATTGACAACAGTTTCCAAAACTGAAGTAAGAGAGGGAAGACAGTGCTGACTCACAGATTAGAACAGGTCCTGTCTGTCACAGATTAGCAGTGACATTTCTTAAGGAAGTGATCTGATCTCACTTGCCTGTTTTGTGAGCAACACTGAAGTAGTGAATTCTTATACATCAGTGTTTCTGGCCCAGAAATAAATTAACCTGTAATGCTTTGATTTTTTTTCACATGGTCAAAATTTTCTGTTATTAAATGCTGAAAAGGATATTAAAAAGTTGTCCTCGGTTACCTCCCTTATCTATGGGAATGTGATGACTAAATGCTTTAGGAATTTGATGAACTTAGGTAGAAGGAATTGCCAGAAACTTAAAGAGATCTATGAATCATGAGATCTATTAACTGGTGACCTACTCAACAAATTGCTGGTATGAGCAGTCATTGCAGTGAAATCAATGTTTTTAAAAGCTTTTTTTTCAACAGTCTTATTTTCACTTCTGTGAAGCAAAGTTATTCTACTATGTAAGAGCATGATATTTCTAACCAAATAGATGGACTAGATTGTTTGATTGATGCTTTAACCCAGTAAAGGTAGTACAGTTTCTCTTAAGTTAGTAGTCATACTTCCCTGTGTTAATCTCAATGGTTTTTAAGAAGCTTTCCTTTCTCTTTGAAGCTGACATAGTGACCTGGAAATTTACTGTGATTAGGAGATAAAAGTAGCAGCCCTTGTATTTGGCTGTATATGTCCTGTGTTGTTAAATGTTTTCAGAATAAGATAATGTGAAGGAATATCCTATTGCATATGAAAACAAACCTTAAAATGAGAGTCTTGGTTAAGATAGAATATTTTTATTTCAAAATCAAGCCACTTACAAACTTCACCTGTTTTGTTTTTCAGAGTACTGTAATTGAAAGATCATCTTCTACATTTAAAAAGGACAAGTTGTTGATTTAATGGTGGATTAATAAGTAGTTGTCTCATCCTAAGACTAAAGAAGAAGATATCCTGGAAGTTGAAAAGAACTGGATTTTCACCCTAGTCAAGCAGCTTTGCTGCTCACTTAAACACAGATGAATGAAGACCCCATTTGGAAAATCACCAGGTCAGCGGTCCAGAGCTGATGCAGGTGAGGTGTTCGTTTTTGGATGGTTTTCTTTGCTTTTAATGGATGAAAAGCATTCTTACTTTACTGACTTTTTAAATATATGAATGATTTTCTGCAGATGTTAATAATTTTAGATGTCATAATACCTGTTTTAAAAGAAATTTTGCTTTTATTGTGGAAGATCGTGGCTTGAAAAGACAAACTAAAAAATGAAGTAGTAAATTTAAATGTAAATGTAGCAGTACAGATCTGACCTTTCTATTTTGTGTCAAAAGTTATTAATCAGTGACCTGTGTGGGGAAAGCAACATGGTTTTTATCACCAATCATTGTGAATTGTAGTTTTTATGAAACTCTCAAGAGCCAACTGGCAAGTGTAATTGGGAAAGCTGAGTTAACTTTTAAAGTACCTAAGCAATAAACCATTTGTGTGCTTCCAAATACATGTTTGATTCATTGAATACTGGAACTGGTACTGGAGGATTTCCCAGTAACCCTTTGGAGACTTTCGAACTCGTATTTTACCTGAGACTGTGTTAAAATTTGCTGTCACTTATTTGAAACATGTACTGATTCCAGAAGTAATACAGGTAATTACCTTTCAAGTGGGAGCTACAAGTTTCAAAGGAGAGATCCAGTGAAGTGTTTAACACTTGGTTCAGTGATCAAATGGAGACAGTGATGAGTGAAGCTCCTCAGGTGTCAGTATTGTAGGCAGCATTGTTTAACATCTTACTCAGTGGCAGGGATGGTGGAGCTGGGTGCACTCTTAGCAGGTTTGCTGATGGCACCAAGCTGTGTGTTACAGTCAGCATACTGGAGGGAAGGAATGCTATCTGGAAGAACCTGGACAGGATTGAGAGGTGGGCCCTGCATGCCTTGTGACATTTAGCAAAGCCAAGTGCCAGGTGCTGCATCTGCGTTGGGGCAATTCCCAAGCACAAATACATTGTGGACAGAGAATGGACTGAGGGCAACCTTGACAAGAAGGACTTGGGGGTGTTGGCAAATATGAAGCTCAACGTGACCCATCAGGGTATACTCTCAGCCCCAGTGGCCTCTCACCTCCTGGGCTGCATCAAAAGCAGCATGATCAGCAGGTCGAGGGAGGTGTTACTGCCTCTCTAGTCCACTCCAGTGAGACTCGGCCTGGAGTACTGCATCCAGCTCTGGGGCCCCTAATGTAAGGATTATGTGGATCAGTTGGAGTGACTACAGAGGAGTGCCATGAAAATAATCTGAGGCCTGGAACACCTCTCCCAAAAGGACAGATTTCAGGAGCTATAGTTGTTCAGCCTGGAGAGAAAAGGCTCCAAGGTGACCTAATTATGGTCCGCAGGTACCTGCAGGAACTTAAAAGAAAGCTGAAGAGGAGATATTTACAACCTTTTGTAATAATAGGAAAAGAGATAATGGCTTCAAACTGAAAGAGAGTAGGTCCAGAGGATGGCCATGAGTGACTAAAGGGCTGGAGCTCCTCTCATGAGAAAAGGCTAAGAGTTGGGGTTGTTCAGCCAGGAGAAGAGGAGGCTCCAGGGAGTGCAGCCTTTTTGTTTTAAAGTGAGACTTATGAAGAAGACAGAGAAAGGCTATTTGCCAGAGTCTTCAGTGACAGTGCATGGGGTAATTGTTTTAAACATAGAGTATAGTTAGGTTTGAATATACAGAAGAATTTTTTTACAATGAGTATGTATGGTAAAACACAGGATCAGGTTACCCAAATGTTTAACCTTGGGTTAACATTTTTATCCTTGGGTTAAACATTAGAAATGTTTAAGGTTATGTTCAAAGAGATATTAGGCAACTTGATCTAGTAAAAAGTGCCTTCCCCCATTATAGAGCTAAACTAGGTAACTTTAAGAGAATCTGTGAGAATACCTGGAATAGCTGTAGAAAAAGAAAAAAGGTGTACTTAAAGAAGTAACTTTTAGATCGGATTTGTTGAACTTTACAGCATTATGGATGCAAATATCTTACTTACTGCCTTCCATTTTTAATGGTGGTTGCCACTTGCCAGGGAAGTTTACAAACAGCATGTAGGGTTCCAGGATAGCTACATTTTAAGTAGAAATTAGGATTTTAAGTCATGTCTGTAAAATTGCTGTCATCTGGGGTTGAATAATAAAGCAGTAATATGATCTTTATTAGGAGGAAAAATTAATAAAAGATACAGTGAAATAGTGGAAATAGTCTACGTATTTTATATTTGATGTGTTAATAATGTAAAATAATAAAATGGTTGGATTCTAGGAAACTTCTGGATTATGTATGTGTAGCAAAAAACAGTCTGGAGGTCCAGTGGTTGCGTCAGGTATTCATATAGGGCAAAATTTGATGCATTAACAAAACATTTTTCAACTGACTTGATTTCATTCTGTTGTAGAAATACTGATCAGTGGCACTACAGGTTGGTAGCGTCTTTGACAAAGCCAATTTTCAGCTGTCCTATGTGTCTGATTAGGAAGGAAATGCTTTTATATGTTGTAAAGTAGGTGCTTAGGAAGGAAATGTTTTTATTTATGTTGTAAAGTAGGTATAAAGGAAGAGGTATATGTGATTTATACTGTCTAGACTTTTAAAATCTCTCTCTGGGAAACATTTGTACGTAGATCCTTTTTGAGAAGCAAAGGGTGGGATTGAAGGTGGACAAAAGAAGACAAGGTAGACATTTAATTTTTACACAACAGTAGAATACATGGCTACAGACTCTATGAGTTTGTCAAAGGACAGAGTTTCTTTCCATTATATAGTTTCCATGAATCAGACAGGTGCTTTTGGCAGCGTGCCTGCGTGTCTCTCTAATTAGTGTATTGCTGTCCCAAATATAGGAGAAATACAGCCTTTTAAAAAAAGTTAATTTGCAGTATATTTGCTTGTAAAGTAAGCTGTGATTACCCTGCGTTAACACACTTGACCCTTCTAAATCTAATGATCTCTTGTATAATGCTGTATAACTGAAAGGCATGGTCCTCTGGAGTCTTTCTTAGCAGGGTTCTCCCAGAGATACAGAATCCTACCAAACTGTATGATGGTCAAGAACAATTGTAAAGACTTTACTGGATGGTTTGAAAACATAAAAATACCGTCTTAGTAAAAAAAACTTTTAACACATATATAAGCATATAACAATTGAGTCATATATTTTCACTCGTAAAAGCAAGTGTAAATTGTTTTCATATTGTCTTTATTAACTAAGAAAAGAGATCATGGATGTGAATTGCTTAGAATCTTTCTTGCAGAGTTAGATTTTGGTTTATGTCTGTACTTCTGACCTACTTCAATTAAAAGACCTCCTTCCTTCAAACTCTTTTAAGTTGAGGTCAAGAAATACTTAGAGGTGTGAATCAGCACACCTAAGTGTTTCTTAGGTCCCTAAAAGTAATTCTGAAATAGTCTCCAGATACAGACTGGAATTACTGCTGTTCACACAGATAATTCTGGAATACAACTTTAAAGCATCTAGATTTTGCTGCCTGTTGTAAACATAGGAGATATTTAGAGAAATAAAATATGGTTGCTGTTTTCTGAAGAGCCTGTCTGATTTTCATGGATTGTGTGAAATTACCAGCTCATGTCACAATAGCAGAACATTGCCAGTAGCTTTCTCCCATGCTTCTTCCTATTCCTCTATAGCCGCAGCTGAAATAACACATGTATTTCTCTTGAAGCCAAAATCCTGAACAATTTTTTTTTTGTCTTGTCATACCCTATTTCTTTATCTTCATCTGGAGTAAAGTTCAGAAACATAATTTCTAGTTTTCCTGTTGAATTTTAAGGGTTTAATGTAAGGGATAGAATTAATGAGCCTCAGAAAAGACAAGTATGACAAAACACCATATGGCAGTTGAATTCTTAATTCTGTTGCTCTTGTCTGGAAGGTGGTGGTTGTGGTCACTTTCTATTACAAAAAATATGTTTCTGTGCCCTTAGTCATAAAAAAATAAAATAGTTTGATATGAAAGGGATCTTTTAAAGGTCATCTTGTCCAACTCCTGCAATCAGCAGGGACATCTTCAACTAGATCAATTTTTTTTTAAATAGAATATCCCAAATCATTACTATGCCCCAAATTTGAAATCATGCTTCAGAGACAGAAAATTTATTCATAATCCTTTTAAAGTCACAATTTATTTGCTAGTACTTAATAAAGTGCTTCACTGTGCTCTCTGAATAAATGGATGGACAAGGGTACTGAAGTTGTACTGAAGACTTAGATATTTTCAGGGATGAGGCGACCACCACTTTTCTGCAACCTGTGCTAGCATTTCACCACCCTCAATGTAAAAAAAAACTTCTTATAGCTAATCTCCATTTTAAAATCACAACCCTGTGTCCTGTTGCAACAGGTCCTGTTAAAAAGTCTGTCCTTGTATTTCTTATAGGTCCCCTTCACGTACTGGAAGGCTGCAATAAAGTCTCTTCAGAGCCTTCTCTTCTCCAGGCCAAACAATCCCAACTCTCACCTTTCTTCATACAGGAGGTGCTCCAGCCCTGCAGTCATCTTTGTGGCCTTTCTATGACCTCATTCTAGCAGGTCTCTTCAGTGCTAGGACCCCTGGATGTAGGGTTGGTTCCAGGTGGAAACCCTCTGCTCTCAGCAGAGCAGAGCAGAGGGGCAGAATCCCCTCCCTCCCCTGCTGCCCACGCTGCTCTGGATGCAGCCCAGGACACGTTTGGCTTTCTGGGCTGGGAGTGCCCATGGCTGGGTCATTTCATCTAGCTATGGCATTCTTGTGGACCAAGAAAAATTCAGGCAGCAGATAGTTCTGATTTTGACCTTCTTACTAGAATATGTTAAATATAAGGATTCTATAGAGGACAGAGAAACTCTTGTTGCAGTTTCTACAATTGTGTAGCTGTCATAGTTTAACATAGCTTAGTTTTTAGTTAAGAAAAAAAATCTCTGACCTACGGAAGTGATTCCCTGTAAGGACCATGGCAGCTTCCTTTGGACCTGACAAAACCAATCAGTTGGCTAATTTGAATATTGACAACCTGTTAAACCTATTGAAGGAGCCGAACATGCCTCTGTGGAAAATACATTTCAAACCGACCAACTCCTGGGTAAAGCTCTCTTGCTTCTAACCTTTCATCAGGTAACTGATGCTGGCCGGGCAAGGCGCCGCTCCACTGTGCAGCCCCTGTGGCCTGGCAGGGCCAGGCCAGGCCCTGTTCTCCTGCAGTGCTGGCCAGGCTGGGCCCCACTCTGCCACACGGCCCAGCCAGCCCAGCCCACAGTGTGGCTTGGCTGAGATTCTGCCACCGGCTTCCAAACACAGCTGGTGGGCCAGGGAGAGCTGAGCCAGGCTCCGTGCCAGCTGTGAAGCCACTGAGCCATTCTGCTGGTGCCGGAGAAAAATTGTGTGGTTAAGGACAGAGATGGGTCTGCAGCCTCGTGCAGAAAGCAGTCCATGTGACTGGAATTAAATGTAGCAGGGGTCAGAAAACAGCCATGTAGCCATGCCCAGCAAAGATCATATAGCTATCCACAGCCTGGGCAAGATATTAACATTTTTAGTGTACAGATGAAACTTGCAGACATCAATCCTCTTGAGTGAGAGAAAAGAGTGAAGACACATAGAGAAAACAACATAGAGACACCAAGGTCAGTAAAGGAGTCAAATCCCAGATGGGAGGAGATGCTTTAGTCTTGGGCTGAAATTCTCTTTTAAGCCTATGCTGAAAATATAATTGATACATCAGACTTTTATTTTTTCCCTGTAATTCACTGAATGCACTGGGGGGATGTAGCATTCTAGCCACAGTGAGCAGAGGCACCAGCGTTGAAGCAAGCAGATGTTTAAATAGCTTGAACAGAGAGAGATGAGAAACATTGTCCTAGAGATGGAAGAAGAGAACTTCTGTTTCTATACTAGAACAACTCATCCTTAAAATTATACCCCAATAATCTGAAATTACTCAGCCATGGTGATAGTTATGGAAAAAACTACCAAAATGTGGAGGGACTTAATGATTACAGATTTCCAGGCAGGTGCTATTTGTGCAAATTAAAGCCATGAGGGAACTGCTCCTTGTGGAGAAGTCTCCATGGCATAGCAAGAGAGACTCTGCTCCCTAAGAGAACTGAAGACTATTTTAGACGTGGTAAACTGACTGAAGGTCGCAGGCTTTGTCTCTTATGTTGTTAGTAGAAAAGAAAAGAGGGTGTGGTGGGAGGAGAAGTGTTCTCAAGGTTTTTTCTGATTTCTTATTTTTCTTTTAATTCTATTAATAAAGTTTTCTTTATACCCTTTAAAAGTTAGAGCCTTTTTTGCTCTCCTCTTAATCCTTATCTCACAGCAGAAAATGAATAAGTAATTCTAGTGAGTGCACTGGCATTTGGCCAGTATTAGATGCACTACAGTAGCCAAGCAATTCAACAGTAACCTGATAACAGCCTTAAAAGGAGTTTACATCTCTATGAGGGCAAATTGTGGCAAATTGGCATCTGGTTGGTACAAGAGTGTGTTTAACTGAGGATCTTCAAATACTTGTTATTGATATATGTATTAAACATCCAGATGCCATTACCTGATGTATTAAACTGTGAGCTCTCTTAAGAGACTGACTTAAGATGATGAGTAGTACTTAGTTGTCTCTGTTGTCTTTGGTATAGAGCTCATTACATCAGTGAACAAGTTGCATCATACAAAAATTTTGAAGATCCCAAGGTGAGAACTTAGCAAACAGCAAAATCCCATTCCCAGAGGTCAGGTTAACTTCTCTACTTATTGAAAATGTTGTAGTAAATCTTTCTTCTGTGTCAATTTAGTATTTCTGTTCTTGACTTTGAAAGATAAATCCTTCATACCTCCCTTCTTATGGGTTACAGAATCTTTGAGAGGAGGTGGACAGAAAGCAAATTCTTGTGATACACTATTCTGTTGTTTTGCTGTGTTTTTACTTGAGCTACTTTAGCCAAAATCTTACTTTTTTCTGGTTAGCTGGAAATCTAAAATGTTAAGTGCATATATTCATCTTCTGGTGATGAAGTTTCTCTATTTTGTAAAAACAGTTACTGGATTTTAAGAAATTACTTTTTAAAAAATAAAACATCACCATATTTTTAATAAAATGTGTTTTATTATGTTATATATTAGTAGAATACAGCCTCATATACAGAGAGATAACTGAAATTATGCTTATAAAGTTTTTTTTACAGGCTGTAATAAAGTCCTAAAGTCTTACAGGTTTCTAATCAAACTTTTTGTGATACTGTTTTTGTTTTTCCAGCTAAGTTCTTAAAAATACTCAATTTATTTGGTTTTGTAACAGTCAAAAATTGCAAGTAGGACCTTTACTGCAGTAATTGACAGACAAGGCTTAATTTATAAAAATTAGGCACATTTCAGATATCATTACTGTTGGAAATGCAGATTCCTGAAGATCTGATGCAAGCTTGACTATAATAAACATAAGATTATTTTAATTACTAATGAATTATATTAATTCTGCCATTTCTGTTACTTTGTGTATGCCCTTTTAGAGTTTGCATACAAAAAAAAATAAGATACTTGTGAAGATTTTAAAGATCATTGGTACTGTCAGTGCTTGACTCCTGTGTGATTCTCTTCAATATGTATATAATTCTAGATATGCTTGGAACATGCATATAGTGTAAATTTAAAATAATTTGTTTGTTTAGGCCTATACAGAAATTAAAGCACTTCTCTGCAAGTGTTAATTCAAGCATTCCTAGTTAAAATTGTAGGCATGTTTGTACATAAACACAAGGTGTTAGAGTTATACATGGTTCAGTCCAGTACTTTGACCAAGTTGTTTTAGATATGGCAACCAAGAAGCAAAAAATCCAAAACAAGGTACTGTGAAGAAATTTTTACTCCGTACTATTAAAAAGTAGTATAGTGAGGAGAATCAGGATCAAGCCAGGTACCTTCTGGCCATGTAGTCACCTTCAGCCATCACTTTAATAGGGGCTATTTCAGTCAACTCCAGTAAATGGTCTGTATGCAGCTGGCCTTTGACTGTGATCGGGGGCTGCAGTTTTTATTCTAATAACTAATTTTGATTTTTCTACCTGTGCACATTACCTTTCATGTACAGTGTTCTTTTGAAAGTGTTTCTCTGTCATTTTGTTCATGCATATTTTCACTATTGTCACTGATTGACCATTGCATCTACTGTCTTTGTTTTGTTCAACTTCCATTTTAATAGTTGCTGTCACTCATTATGTTCATCACTGAGCTTCTGTGTTGGGTTTGCATGGCAAGGTACCAGGAGCATGCAAGGGTGACTTCTGTAAGAAGCAGCTAGAAGCTTCTCTTGTGTCCAAGAGAGCCAGTGCCAGCTGGCTCCAAGATGGACCTGTCACTGGCCAAAGCTGAGCGTGTCAGTGATGGTGGTAGTGCCACTGGGATATTGTATTTAAGAACAGGGGAAAGATCCTGCCCTACACCAGGTGAAGGAGAGGAGAAGAACTGTGTGAGCATAGCAGCCCTGCAGACACCAGGGTCACTGGCAGAAGGAGATGGAGGAGGTGCTTCAGGCACTGGAGCAGAGGGTCCAGTGCAGACTGTGGTGAAGATTATGGTGAAGCAGCTGTGCCCCTGCAGGGCTTGGAGGACCCTACTGGGGCAGGTGGATGCGACTGAGGGAGTCTGTGAGGCTGGAGGAAATATGCACTGGAGCAGGTTTCCTGGCAGGTCTGTGTGGCTCCATGAGAGAGGAGGCCACTCTGGAGCAGGTCTGCTGGCAGGACATGTGAGCCTGTGTGGGGCTCACTGCAGAGCAGCCTGTAGCTCCCGTGAGAGGGTCCCCATGCTGCAGTTGCGAAAAAGTAAGATGAGTCCTTCCCCTGAGGAGGGAGAACTAACCCTAACCTTGAGGAGAAAGAAAGAAGCAACAGGGACAAAAAGTGATTAACTGAATGCACCTTTATTCCTTGTCCACTTGTGCTACCTGGAAGTGAAGAGGTAGAAAAAAATTGGGAGTGAAGTTAGGCCCAGGAAGAAGGGAGAGCTGCGAGGAAGGTATTTTTAAGATTTGGCTTTATTTCTCATTATCTGACTTGCTTGGTAATAAATTAATATTCCCCAAGTAAAGCCTGGTTTGCCTGTGATGGTAATTGGTGAATTATGCGTCTCTGTCCCTGTCTTGACCCAGGAATGTTTGGTTGTATTTTCTCTCCCTTGTCCAGCTGAGAGAAGAGGTAGAGCAGCTTTGGTGGTTACCAGGCATCCAGCCAAGGTCAGCCAGCACACCACAGCTTCATGTGTAGATAGCCAATGTGTACCTCTCTAGAGCCTTTTCTGGTTTTAGCAGGTCCCTGATCAGTCATAACATGAAATGTTTGGATTTGATATTAAATATGATGGCTTTTATGTAAGTTCTTAACTTGGTTTTCAGTAATTCCAACATCTTTTATATTGTAGGTCATGCAGGAGTGTCTGCCAGCATGATGAAGAAAAGAACATCCCACAAGTAAGTTGTTAATATATTTACTAAAGAATAGCTCTCAGTAACTGGAAGTACTGTTCAAGAAATATATCTGTATTGTTCCACTCTATTTGTGAAAATTGTGGAATAATATTCAGTCTGTATATGTGTGTAGAGTCAGACTTCTAATCCTTCCAGGAGAGTAGTAGGAAAGAAAGCCCCACAGATACAGATAAAGCTTTAAACATTGTTTTGACTGTTAACATTATATTTTTTTAAATATAATTTTGAAATTCTTTCTGGAATCTGTAGAGAAGGATTTTCAAGACTAAGCTTAGCCACATCTATTGTAGGACGTCTGTTCTCTGGCACAGAGTTCATGCAGTCACCATGAAAAAAAAACAAAAACTGCAAATCATTCTTACAAAGAACCCAGTTGGAAAGGAATCTCAGATATATGTAATCATGTATGCACTATAACTGTAGTGTTGGAAAATATTTTTTATTTTTTAAAAGTAAAGAATGCACTGAAATACTTCTTTAAGGAAGCTGCTATTAGTATGTGAAGGAAGGATACCTGCTTTGCTACACTTTCATGGCATGTATTTTTCCATCTTCAACATTTTAAATAGTGGCAGCTGAACACTGGTGAGTAGCTGTGTGAAAATAGAGTTAACCTTCTGGGTATAATTGGTCTTAGTTCATGCAGCAAGATACCGTATCTGGTGAGAGAAATCTAAGCTGGGTAAGTGGGAAATTTTAAATGTTACTAGCTGTTTGCAATTGTAAAGTCATATAGTGTGTATCAATCACAAGCAATTTGTTTGGCAGGTGTATTTTCCACAGTTAATCTAGTTAATCACTATTAACAGTGTTAACTGTTTCCCAGAGACAACACCTGGTGTTAAACTACTCTGATGCCTTCCACCAGCTCATCATTATCCATTCTTGTCTATCTTCATAGAAGGCAAAGAGAAACTTTTTTTTGTCTAGGGGCAGGTAGAGTTGGTTAAACTTTAATTTCTCTTGTTCTCTTTCAACCGCTCAGAGAAAGGAGTGTATGATGGGAAGACTATCAGAGGTGGGTTGCCTTTTGTACTTGAGGGTGGCTAGATTTGTCTTTATTGTTGTGTTAATATACACTTATTTAAATAACTAAATAGGTTGTAAATTTTTTAGCATAAAAGCTTTTGTGGGACATAAGAAGTTTTGATCCTAAGTGACATAATTTTGAGGTATTTAACTTAAGCATCCAGCTTAATTTTATGTTAATTTAGCCTAGTTCGATTTTTATTATTTAGTTTAGGGTTTTTTGTACCAATCCAAGGTGACTTCTTGTTTGCTGCTTACTGACTTGTCTGAGAATAAGGTAGAGTAGTAAAACATTGTTTATAGTTTACCATAAATTAGTAGGATATGAATATGCTGTAATACTATATGCTGATACTACTCTGAGGCAACATGATAGACTGTGAGTTAGTAATGTATACTTTGTCACTGATTTAGCTATTTATTTAGTTGCATCCTCATTTAAGGAAAAAGAAGAAAAAGTCTACTGGTACTCAAATGCCATTGAGATTTTAAAGGTTTGTTTCAGAAGGTTATGGCAGAGAAAGGAGCAAAGCATGACTCAGTAAGTGAGATTGTGATAGAATGAGCAGTGTGGATGAGCCTTCTGAGCTCTTTAAATGGTAGTTAACTGTTGAGCCTTTTGGAGACAGTTCCAGTGCTGATAGGACAGTTCTTCCAAGTGCTCTGTCAGTGGGTAGTGGTGATCTCTGCCAATATGAAGCTGGCCTCACTGGCATCAGATCAATCAATAATCACAGATGTCATTCTTTCCACCCTTAGTGTATAGGGATAATGCAAGATGTATCACAGGTATGAAGCAATTCTTTCTTCAGAGGCTCCCCAGATTTCTTGTAGTCAGCAATTTAGAGACTTAGAGGTGTAGGTTATAATTTCAATTTAACTACAAGTGAACTTGAACATTTTGAAATTTTGATATGACTTTAAGGTAAGATGCTCTTGGCTTCTGCGGCATCTAGAGCTGAAATTCACAACTGATTTTTTTTTTTTTTAACTTTTGAGGGAGTACAGAATGTACTTTAAAACATCTGTCTTAATTAATGTGCCTCATAGTCTGAATATTGTGAGAAGTAGTTAATAACAATTCTGAGATCACCATTATGTTATTAGTCGTAGACATTAATAAGATCACGGTTGTATTAAGTTTTATATCCTGTTTTCAATAACTTTTCTGTTTTGTACCATGCGAGATTTGAAAGCATAATGACTAGTGCTACTGTACTGCTTCTATAATGTTTTCTCATTTTCATTCGAGTTTTTCACAGTTTTCCATGTTTTGCATATCTAAGAGATGTGGTTTTCTTTCATCCTTCTGAGTTTTTTTTCCCTTGTGTTTTTCTAAAATGACATGATCAGGGTAAAAAACAATCAACAACCAAACCTAAATGGGTAACTTTGTAGGTTACTGGGCATTGTCATTCCTGTTTTTATAAATGCTAGTTTGTGTTTTAAGCACAACTCGTGGTAACGGCTGATTTTTCTGCTACCAGTCCTCTGCAGTTCTGAAATATGTTGGTTTCCCAGGTAGCAGTAGCCAAATTAAAGTTTGTGCAAGCACCTTATGAGCACAGCTTTAGCCTCTGGGCAGATTTCCTTCTGCCTGTGTAGTCTTTAGAATGTTTCCGAAGTATCTAGTTCTGATAATGAAACTTTTTCACATTAGGTTTTACTTAACAGCTTACAGCCTGCAAGATAAAGAAGAGGATCAGAAACTTTTGGCAATCGAAGGGCCGTTTACAATGAGGATTTGTCTGATGTGTCAAGAACTACTTCCAGGACTTGCTATTTTCTGTTTATCCTGGCTTCATTTCTTACATGTCTAGTTGTTTTCAAATATTGAAGAGCAAATTCTGGAAATTTTAAAGACTGTTTTAATGAAAGAGATGGAAAAAATTTGTTGGACCTTCTGGATAGGACATCATAGGAAGTTATCTGTAGAACTTGATTTATTACAAGAATGTCACACTGTTGAGTTTAGTTATTTAGTTGTCTTACATAGAAATAAATTTGTAACTTATTAATAGTTAGAAACTTGCTTGTTTTCTTACCATGTTCAAATGCAGGAAGTAGATTTTCCTTGGTAATACACTAGTTTGAATATCTAATTTCTTATACTTGAAATGAGAAGTGAGCAGCTGTTCAGTAATGCAAAATTCAAACAAAAATTTGCACCGCAGGTACATCTACTGGGTACTTGATTTGTAATTAAATTCCTAATGCTCTTTGCTCTTTATACCTATTTGAACTCAATTTTGTTGTCTTTTTCCATCTTTTTTTTAGAATTAGTGTAAAGATTTTTACTTTATTGTTCCAAATTAAATATTAAAGTGGATTATGCTTTGTAGGCAGAACATAAAGTTGACTGAGGTTGAATATCCAATAGCATTATATTTTTCAAAGATTAAATGATGAGCAATATAAACTGCTTAAACTAGACAAAACAATGTCAGTTTAAGCTTCTTTTATTTCTAGTAGTTTTTATTCCCTTCTGAATGAAGCAGTGCTCCATTAGCACTAATTAAATGAATTGTATACAAAACAAACTCAATTTTCTGCTGAGAACCAGATCTGTGAACTTACTTTGTAATAGTAAGCTATTACTGACACTTATTACAATTAGAAACACATATATATACTTCAGCAGAGCTAGAATTTGAAAATAAATTCTAATTTTTGCATAAAGTTAGAACCAGCTTTGTGGGAGAGTTTCTCTTTACAGGAACTCCAACCTGTTGCAGTTATCTGTGCTATCAAGGTTAGGAATGCAAAACTGCATTCTGATCTTTGAAAACTTCAATGATAACAAAAGTGAAATGTGAAAACACCCTTGCTAAGATTTTCGTAGTGAAATAAAGTCTGGAGGTGGGACAAGTACTGAAGTTAATTGTGTATCTTGTTTTTAATAGTTATGATTACAGTTATCATACAGCGTTAAAGATTCCAATATCATATTGTGAGTGTATTATTCTGAAATACTGCTTCCAGGTTTTCAGTGATATGGTTGTTATCTGTATTTTTTGGATCATATAGGGACTTCTATGAGAGTATTAATCATATCTGGAGACCTTTTTCTTTGATCACTGTCTCTAAGGAAAAATACTGCCTTTTGCAACTGATCATCTTTTTGATGTTACTTTTAAGTTAGTTGTGTGCATATATTACTGTGCCATTGAAATAATGTGTGCTACAAGTAGTAGCCCAAAAATTTTTTTTCCAACTAGTTGATATCCAGGAAAATTTTATATATTGCTCTTTAGTTTCTTCCATTTGTGTTCAAAACTGTGATTTTAATAGCTGGATAAAACAAAACTTGTGTAACACTTTCAGTGATTTGGAACTGTCAAATAGCTTACATTACAGGTCGTCAGAATAGTAACTGATAGTAACAGTAGCAGAGGGAATTTTTTTGCAAATTGCTTGAAAATATCAGAAGGACAAAAAAGTTACTTGATTGTTTTTCACATTAAGGAGTATCCCATCTATGGCTAATTACATTACGTGCAGTTTTTCATTTTCCATACTAAATACAGAAGTGTTGTTACAGTCTTTAGAACTACTTGGAGTCAAAATCACCTGTAAATGAAGGAGCCAACATTTTCTTTAGGTGAAAATAGATCTGTTTTAGGGAAAACAAACATTTTGAAAGAATTTCAGTCAGCCACATAATGCTTGCACTGACTTCTTCCTTCTGGGAAGGAGTTGTTTACTGTTCTGCAGAGAGTAACAAGGTAGTAAAGTTGTAATACTTCCATCTAGCCTTGTGCTTTGAGATCTGTTGAGGTGAGTTTCACCTTTGACATTCAGTGTAGCGAGGGATAGAATAGTTATTTTGGCTTAAGCAAACTACATTTATAATTTACTGTTAGGAAACTGACCTTATACAGCATGTCAAAAATGTGTCACTACTTTTGTTTTTCTTTTTTCCCATAAGGCATGATAAGCTTTATGACCTAATTTGAATAAGGTGTGCTAAGCTATAAAATATTTTTTATATTTATATTTTTATGTAAAAGCATACAAGTATTTTCTTAAGTAGAATATGTATGTACTTGTTTAATATTAATGTTTGTATCTGTGTACAGAAAACATAGAAACAATGTGGGACCAAGCAAACCTATTTCTCAGCCACGAAGAAATATTGTAGGCTGCAGGATACAGCACGGATGGAAAGAAGGAAGTGGACCTGTAACACAATGGAAGGGCACAGTTCTTGATCAAGTTCCTGTAAATCCCTCGCTCTATCTCATAAAGTACGATGGATTTGATTGTGTGTACGGACTAGAACTTCACAAAGATGAAAGAGTTTCAGCACTTGAAGTTCTTCCAGACAGAGTTGGTGAGTGTTTAGGGTTTTTCTCCTAAACAAATATATATGTTGGCTGGTATTTATCACTGAATGTTTTCCACTAATCCCTCCAGACTTTCCCCAAGGTAACCCATGACCACTTAAATGTTACTGGTCAATTTCATTTTTGTCTCATGGCAGGTAATCTAAAATCTTGGAGTTTTTTTCTATTCCACAAAACTTTGATGATGCTAGTGGGTTCAGTTGCTGTCTTCTGTCATTAAGTAGTATATAGTACATTCTGTAGTTTTCAGATTAACACTGATATTTCTGTTAAAATTTCAACTCTGAGCCATCTAGACTATGTTGTCTATTTTGTGTGTCTAACAGTAATAAGGTTACATTTTTTCTTGTACTACCACTGTGTACTTAAAATAATGGCTGGAAGACATTTTCTAAATGAATTAACCTGATTAGTAATAATGCTTTTTGTTTTTCAGAATTAGCACTTGGATTGTTAAACTGCAGGTTTTTCAATCCACCAGGTGTGATACCTACTCAAGTAAACACTAGTTTGTAAATAGAAAAAGCTGTTGTTCCTTTTAACTGCAAAGGAATTGGTTACAGTCCGTAGGGTTGAGTTATGAGGAACCAAACCCCAAAGCTGAATTAATAACATCATAGAACTGCCGTGAGACCGGCCTTTTGTTTCTACTTCTCCCCGTCCAGTGTCTAAAGTTCAGAGTCTTTCTTGCTCGATTGATCTCTTACTAGCTTGCATTGTGATTGTTTCATCACAGGGAGTACAATAATGCATTGTTGTTTTAACAACATTCTGAACTTCTTAGTTCCACAGCACTAAACTCTCTGGAATGGACACTATTTGTTTTGTATATGAATTTACTAATTGCCAATCAGATTGTAAAAATAATCTTTATGGTGATTAATACACAAAGATACATATATATGATTTTGAATAAATTTCTGAAATGCTGTTTCATTTCAGCTTCGTCTCGAATTAGTGATGCCCACCTGGCAGACACAATGATTGGTAAAGCTGTGGAACATATGTTTGAGACAGAGGATGGCTCAAAAGATGAATGGAGGGGGATGGTCTTGGCTCGAGCTCCTATTATGAACACATGGTTTTATATTACGTATGAGAAGGATCCCGTCTTGTACATGTACCAGCTCTTAGATGATTATAAAGAAGGTGACCTTCGCATTATGCCTGATTCAAGTAAGTAGGCCAGTTACTGTTTTCTTCTGACAGCTTTTCATATTAAACATTTAGCTGTGATTTATTTATGGTCGAGATAGCTGGCAAACAAACATCATGTTTGATATTACATTTAATTTTTTTTTACACAGCTAACAAATGTGGTAATACAACAAAGAATATCTATGTTAACTGCTGAAATATTTAACTTTTCTTAGCAGTGATGTATACAGGGTGATACTTTTCATAATTAATCTTAATTCTGCTGAAAATATGGGTGTACTACCAGGAAAGACTTGACGTTTTGGTTTTTTAGTGGGAATTGACAAGCAGAAAGTTTTCCACTGCTGTTTTCTTACAAAAGTATCATGTTGTGTGGAGTTGGCTCTTGATTTGTATCTCTGAACAGTTCTTGTGGGAATGAATATTTTGGGTCAAACTGATACAGTAAGAACAATTTCACTGAGCTATGTGTCTTCAGTGTGAAAAGCTTCTTGAGTAGTTGCCTGTGGGAAAGAAGTACTGTTTTTTTGGAAATTGATTTTCTCTCACATTTTCTAACACTAGTTATATATAAATTTTTTTCTCTTGGTATTTCTCCTCATTTTGGATGAAGTAGTCTTCTTCAGGACTTCTATTAATCCTAAAGACTAGTATTAATTTATAGAAAATTAATTGTAACTAATACATATGCAAAGAGCTATGTAGTCAGCCACTACAGTTCTCCAATTAGTAACTTGTTGAGTTTGAGATCATCTTGTTTCAGATACACCACTGGTAATGATCTGGCAGAATAAAAAAGTGGCACTTACTTGCAGTATCTCTGTGCTAACTATCTGTGTTCAAATTGCCCTCTCCTCTGGCCCAAGCAAAAAGCAACATCTCTGATGCTTTTAAAGAAAGAACTACAGATGTTAATGGAAAAAAGTGACCTTCCTCTTCTTGAAGAAATAAAGCAAGCTCTTTCAGACTTAAATATTAAAATAACTTGTTCTTTGTATTGACCATCAAAATGGATTAGGAATGTATTTTAAGTCTGCTTTGCTTTCTTCCACCTTGAGAGTAAGGAAAATTTATATGCTTCCTTTCCATTTAAATCTTAATTGCTTTTAGTGCACTTTACACTCTGTGCTCACCAAACAATTATTGCTTACTGATTTTCTAAACACTTCTAAGTATTTGTTTCCTTTCCTGAACATGAATGCTTTCCAGATATTTTGAATCATGTCTTTGAGTCAACAGCTGGATGGTAGTATTTTGGAATAGTATTGTTCAAAATCAGATTTTAGAATATCTGCAGATAGTTCTGTAAATGTGGTGGAACCTGCCATAATATTATAAATAAAATTTCTAGGGTACTGACCCTTATCAAGTGTTGGTTCTGCACATATGAAGAGATCAAATAATAGATAATTTGTTTTAACCTTTTTTCTTTTCGTAAAGGGAAAATATACTGTTGGATCTGATACTAAAACATGGCCTACACTTCTAAGTGAAAATATAGGCACTGAACTTGAATCTTTGCCAAGAAAGAATCTTCCTATAAAGCTCATACTAAGAGGATAATAACTATGTGTGACAGTGCATTTATAGAGGAGCTGAAACACAAAAAGAGAAACTTCTATTTGCCTGAGTTTCTAAGTGCAAACGCAAGCCAGTCTATGCATTCCCTGTTTTTTTTTCCTCCTTTGAGAGTTCTTTCATAGTTCTCAAAACTCAAAATAAAATGGATAGAATCTGTAAGGGATTCTTAATATAGACTTGTAACTAAGTTATTAATTTAAAAGCATATGATTTCCAGAATAAAAGCCACATCAGATATTACAATTGCTTTAGAAAGTTTTCCAGTACAATACAAAGAAATTTATCTGAACTAGGCATCAAAGAAGAGGAGCTGAGAAAGAATATGTGGTTAGCTTCCAGTTCTCCATATAGTACTTCTTACCCTTTATCATGTTCTGTGATTGGCTTGTAGCCAATCACTATGCATGTTACAAAACACACCTTTCATAATCCAGATTTAACGTAGGGATTGTCTGGTTAGGTTTTGCCAGAGAGGAAAATAATACAGTCAGACTTCACCAAAATTACTCAAATATGGCGTCAAAAGTCCCTTTTAATAAGGAGTTGACACCTGCTACCATTTCAGAAGAGATGCTTCTGTTGTAGTCAAATCCACACATTGAACCTTTGAATAACATGTGTGGGAAGAGGGAAGTTAGAGTACCTTTCTGCTAAGTAGGTCCAATGCCTTTTTCTGCTCATGGCTTAAATTCAGCTGTCTACAGCCATTTTCTACAACTTGTGTATACACCTTCCTGTCAAAGATTTACTTCTCTTACCAAAGTGCTGGTTTTGTCTTAATAAAACTGAAGACAGTATTGCTAGAAAAATTTTTCTGCAACTACTTTCCACAAGCATGGCAATTGTTAGGTTGTCTGAATTAAATTAATTAAGCTGTTTACAACTTTTAATTGTTTTGTATGATTTTTAAAGACAACTGTGTAGTTGTATTCCAATAGTGCAAAATTTTGTTAATGTCTACTAAAGCATACTGGTTTATGTTACAGATGATTCACCTCCTGCAGAACGGGAACCAGGTGAAGTTGTGGACAGCCTGGTAGGCAAACAAGTGGAATATGCCAAAGAAGATGGCTCGAAAAGGACTGGCATGGTCATTCATCAAGTTGAAGCCAAACCATCTGTCTATTTCATCAAGTTTGATGATGATTTCCATATTTATGTCTACGATTTGGTGAAGACATCCTAGACGTCATCATGAACTTTTGCCAAATTTGTGGAACTATTAAATGTAAAATTTGTAGACACAAAGACTTGACTGCTTTCCAGTTTAACGAAAGCTTAAATGTCCCTGCGAACCCACAATCTCTGCCAGCAAAACTGTTTTGTTCTGAGTAATACAAACATGACACATTTTGTGTAAGAGAACTCCTTTTCTTGAAGGAAGTCAGTATGTTTGGGCAGGAGGGAGTTAAAAGCAAAGAACAGCTGCAAATTCAAGCTGTGTAAAGTTGATCTAGTATTGTAATCATTAATCTAAATTTTTTCATAGATTTTGATTTTTTTCTTCAATCTTGCACTCACTTGTTCAACTGCCACATGCAAGTGTAGTTTGATATTTTGATATGCCTTCTTTTGTAACATTAAATTTAATTTCTTGGATACTGGCAGTCCTTGTTTTCAGGGTTGGGACAGAGGTGACTTTTCTGAAAGGTTTAAACAGTTTGTGCAGTATCAAGGAGTGCCTAACCCAAGTAACATCAATCTGCTGTGTTTCTACACTTTATTTCAAATTCAGCTTTTTAAGAACTTGCAGTGCGTGGAAATGCTTGTGCATTTTTTACTAGTCACAGGTCAGTAGGATATCAAGTGTTTGGATTACGCACCTTTCATTGAAAAGGCTTTACACTATAAAATTACATTTAATCTGTATAACCACTTAATTAGAATATGCCAGTTAATGGCCCATATTTACAAGTCATAGGAACCAGTAAAATACATGCAACAAGGCTGCCTTCAATCCTAAATGTTGTACTTCTTTCTTTGTTTGTTATACACACTTATTAGCAAAACCCAAGTGCTTGGTGCCACAACTCTTAACAGTATATATGCTACTTCAGAAGAATTTAGACTACGCATTGGCATCAGTAGTCTCTCATTTAAAATCAAAACTTAGCAACCTGAATGTTTGTGTTTGGACTTAGAAGTCTAACAGTAATTAATATTTTACATGGTAAATACAGTCTCACACCAGGGGAGTGGGAGGGGGTTTCCTTTTACAGTGAAGATGTAACTTTAGAGAAGGAGAAGCATTTGTTGCCTTCTGCTCAGTCTGTTGCATTCCTCTGTTTTGGTTTGCTTTTAATAATTTTGGTTCAAGAAGGCATCTTCCCAGTTTATTCTTTTCCTGGCTTTTCCACTTAAGGAGTGTCTGGATAAATCTACAGTTTAAACCTGTTGTTGCCTTTTGTGGTGTACATTGTACTTGCTTTGAGGTATGCTGTTAACATTAATTTCATTCTATGAACACTAGAGTTCTGCATGCTAGTGGTGTACTATCTAATGGAAGCTATAAGGCAGTCTCAGTGGTTCAGTCATCTGCATTAGCTTGTGGATGTAAATAGCAGCCCACAACTGCAAAATCTTTTCATGGTTATAATCTCGCAAGATAGTTGTAAATGAAAATTAGGGTTTCCTTAAGTGTGGCAGCTTTTAAAATATGGAATTGAAACAACAATGCAGCACAGCAACAAGGTTGTCATGTTACAGTAAGGCAGAGCTCTGCAAGTTTCAAAGAACTGCTTCACAGAAGTACAGAATGTGAAGACAGTTAACACTTTTGATGGAAGGAACAAATACCCTGATATCCAACTGTGTGCCATTAGTGGAAGAATGCAGGAGCTGTTAATCAGAGGACAGAGGTGCAGACTACCTCTGTTGTGGGTATTCTTGGTATTGAAGACTCAGTGGTTTAAGCCCCTTTCTGTCCATTTTTTTGCCTGATTTCATAATTTAGCCTTAAGGCTTGTGCCTCATTATGCTGTTGAATGGTAATAAATACTCTCCGTATAAATATGATACCTTAATTCTTTGTCCATTGCTACTATATTGCATTATGTCCAGTATTTCATCATGGGCAACCAAAGGCAGGCTATTGTCTTTCAGTGAATAGCTTCTCAATGCAGTCCTTATGCAGTAAGTACCTGAGTCGTAAATGTTTCTTGTGTTTGAACAAAGTGAGCAGATTTGCAACACAGTGTTTTCATCCTGCAGATCTGTTGTGTTTTCTATTGACTCTTAAGAGTCCTGCATGTAAATCTCAAAGCTGAGCCTGGCTCCATGAGCCCAAGTCAATATTTGTGGCACAGGAATGAGTGAGTGTATTAATTACACACAAGATACATGGATTACCTAGTACACTGATCTTGGGGCTACATATCTGAGGAATAAGAGGTTTGTTTTGAAATATCTGAGGTTTAGGTCTACTGGAACACTTTTAGCATTAGGCTTGCATTTGTGGGTTTTCTGCAAGCCTATTGAATACACTATGTATTCTGACAATTAGAGAATAATCTACAAACTGTAAATTTCACTGTTGTTTTTGGATGTCCCCATTCGTCCGTTGTGTGGATATTTTCAATTGGGGATTTTTTGGGGATTTTTTGTTTTGGTTTGGTTTGGTTTGGTTTTTTGGGTTTTATTTTTTTTGATAGCTTAAACCACAGTTTTGAGGCTTGAGACTAATTCCACTCCCTGCCCATCTGCTTTGGGCTTTGTTTTAGGCTCATGTTTCAGATCTGCATGCAGTGCTTGCGTTACCCTGGTAACTAAATGTTGGTTCCTTGTTATAGGGGTTCAACATTACTTTCCAAAATCACATAGGGCTTGTGATGGCACAAGCCATGGATCTTTGTATAAAAGTTACTCACCTTTCACATTTACCTGCTGTAGTATTGTTGTATATTGTGTGTGTGCGTGTGTGTGATGTCAGGCTGCCATGTAAAACTTAAAAGGGAAAAAAAAAAAACAAACTTAAATGCAGACCATCCTTTTTTGCATGCTTAGAGGGTTAGAACATTCAATGTAACAAACTAAAGTTGCATGTTAAAATGTTTAGGTTTTTGTTTTGTTCTGTTTTTATTTTGTGTTCAGTTTTTTGTGAATTTGCTTATTGTGCTGTTTTAATGGTTGTTAGTAGGATTAAATGCACCGGTGAGACGAGCATAGTGCCAACGGAAGGTAATTTTCCAGTTGTATGTGTCATACAGCATTTGAAGGGACCATGTATTCTGTTAAAGAAAAAATAAAATTTCAGTTGAATAGCAGAACACTACATTCTTCTTCTTTCTTTTTGAGTGCCAAACCCTAAACTATGTTGGAGTAGAGATGGGGAAAACCCTTTTTGTTGGAATAGGTAGAAGCATTCTTTAAATGAATTGTTTAAACATAGGGGCTTTGTCTTCAGAGAGAATTGTCAAGTTGCATCAGGAAAAAGAATTACGGTAAAAACAGTTTCTGGTTCCTTGAAAATGCTGTTCTTTTTGTATTTTACATCATTAGTGCAATTTGGATGGTTCTTGGTATGCGTATAGTTCAGAGGTCTTCGTGTTCGCATTTTTAAATTAGGTATTAAATTCATCTTTAGAGCTTGATTTCTTTATTTTTATTTTATTTTGAACAATGTAGACAGTTCCCTGTTCTCTGCATTTAGAAGTATAAACACTTTAAATTGTTACTTAATTCTGTAAGTAATTTTTATAATTATGATGTAACTCTATCCTTAAAACATTTAAAATAAACCCTTTATGTGCAACTTATGCCTGTAAACTTTGTTCTCATGAGCAAAACACAGAGATGTGATTTCAGATTATGAAGAAGCAGTTTCTTCATTTTTCTAATTTAAAGGATTTATTATTTTAATATTGAGCCATGTATGCTGGTATAATAATTGCTCTATGAAATATGTTTGCTTGCAGAGCCAAATCTTTATTCTTTTTTCCAAGTAAGTATGAGTGTTAGTAAGATGGAACTTGTCTAAGGAAAAGCATACTGCTAAATTTAACTAAACACAGAAAACTTCTCCCCCTCTCCCCAGGCGGCTCTGCCGGTCTGTGAAGCAGTCTCTATTTCCAGAGCACACAGAATATTTTGGCAGTGGGGAGCTGCAGAAGTATTTGGCAGTGTTTTGGTGATACATTAATTTGCTTTGAATTAAAAAAATTTAATGAAGTGTATTTTACTGGTGATAAAAAATGAAGTTGATGCAAATTGGATGTGATGAGGAAAGAAGATAACATCACCATGTTGTGAATTTTCTAAAGTCTTCTAAGTTGTTTTGAAGACTTTATGTGGTTAAATTACTATGGCAGGCTTTCCATGTTGAACAGATTTTCTTTATTACTACCTATTTTCTGATAATAAAGAGTGCATGGCACTTAAAAGGATGTGGTATAGTGGTGAATTTGTAGTGTTAGGTTAACAGTTGGACTCAATAATCTGAAGGATCTCTTCCAACCTAAGTGATTCTGTGATTGTAAAATATGTTTTTGGCACCAGGCTTATTTTGTCATATACTGAAGAATATGGAGTCTGCCAGCATGCATACCCAAGCCTTTTCCCTTAGTGCATCATCCAGTTTATTGTATCCTGTTGCTCCTGACACTGATCCTAGTGGAGATTTATATTGTGTACAACTGTGATTAAGGAGAGTCTAAGCCTTTGCTGTAGCAGAGTACCACCTCCAAAGAGCAGGTGTTTATCTCTGTGACCAGTCTGTTAAATTGTAGTTAAAAATAGATACAGTAATATATTGTGACTAATGCCTGAATCTGTTCTGTATTACCGCTAATAAACCCCCCTCAGTTTGGTGGCATCTTGCTCTGTATAGAGACAAAGAGAAGGCTTATAAAAGCAAAGATATTTTTGTTGTCTATCACTGCAGTAATAAACTTGCTCCTGAGAGGTGGTTACTTACAAGTTCTCTTACAAGCATCTTAAATGTCAGTGCTACGTAGACAATAATGTCCCTCAGATTTAAGAGGGTCATAGGGGTCCTCAAAGCTATTGTTTTAATGCTACTATACTGTATTTTCACATCTGTCAGCTTCCTCCGTGTCAATATGAACAGGTTATATTTTCAGGGAAAGAAAACAAAGCTGCTCTTCGCTCAGTGAATCACTTATTTTGACATACTTTTTTTATATTCATGCTGTAAGCAGTGGAACCGTTGATGACTTCAGGGGACTACTGCTTTCTGGAAAGGATATAGTTCAGTAAGGATATTTTGGTGGAGGTTGGGCTGCTGCAATTTAAGATCATGAGGGTGCAAAAGGAGAAGTAAAAATAGGTCAAGGAAATTAGAGGTATGTTCTTTTATCCTCAAGCACTATATAATAAAAGATTTTTACTGTTTTACAAACTTTAAAGCTTTTATTTTCAATCTGACTTTTTTTCTTTCAATAAGTTCCTGCCTTACCATGTTACTTACATTACTTAACCTCTTTGCCAGTATCAGTATCTTACGATTTTAATTAATTTCAGATTTACAACCTGGGGAAGTTACCAAGCTACTCAGCATTTTTCTTAGGCTCTGCTCTTCCCACTGCTTTGTGAGTTTCCTGATTTCCAAACAGGGTGCAGAACTGCATATGCACGATGTATATATAACAGGAGGCACTGAAGTCTCAGCAGTGTGAAGTGGTGTCCAGACTTCCCTATTGTACATAGATATTCATTACAGATCTCTGTTCATTACAGATCTCTTCTGAAATCAGTTATGATTTGCTTAATTTCATTTATATGCAACTTGTGTAAATGGTTTTGCAGCCTCACAGTTTAAATACCTTTATGTTTTGACACTGGTTCCACCCACCCTCAAGCAGTTAATTCTTAAATTTGTTTATATACATTGGAAATTGAATATCATTCGATATTGTTTATATTCAATGGATATTTAATATAAACAGGTCCATTTTTAGTATTTTTACAGGCTCTTTTTTAGTATTTTGATGCCATTGTTTCTCAGGTCTGTGGACTGATCTGTTCAAAGCTAACTTTAGTAATGAATATGGACATCTTCACATTTACTATGATTTGCATAATCCTATTATTTCCTAAGGATGTTCCACCCAGATCCAGCAGATGAGAGGCAATGTTTTTTTTTTTTAATTAAAAAAACCCATAACTTTATACTACTTTAAACACACATTCTTGTTGATCAAAGTGAATCCTTGTCAACAGCCACTAAGGAGAGATTGGTCTTATTTTTTCTCTTTTATGGAAGATTGCTCAGTGTCAGGGCATCAGCATCTGAGTTTTGGGCTGATTCATTTTAGTGCTGTGGCACTAACTAGCTGTACATTATATATTCAGCTTTGGGGAATATATAATGGAAATGGACTGAGGGATGACTGATTATATCCACAAAGGCCTTTACCACTGGATAGAAGCAGTCACTAATTTATTTGCTTTTACAACACTGTTCACTAACTCCTCACTATTTTTAGCTTACAGAGGCAGATGTCTAACTTAGACTTCCATTAATTTAATTAATTACAAAACCTTAACCTTTTAAGCTGTAGGAACAAAATAAATCGGCACTAACAGTAGAAGCACTAGGGAAGATAAAGTGATTAAAAGGTTGTGCTTAAAGTGTTGCAAGAATGGCAACAGCAATTTTTACAAATAACTTTGATAGGATGCCACTCATTTCATTATGGAAATTTGGAACTCTGTCTTGCTGGGAATATTTAATATTCTCCATTTTTCATTTAATTCAGGTTATGCCTTAAAAGGATGTAATTCTGCCTGACACAAAATCCTCTTCTATTATTACTGGTGCAGCTCAGTGTATTGTCTACTCAGTAGCTCATAGACAAAAAAATTAAAAAGTGAGTTACAGTGCAGTTTTCTGAAAAAGCAAGGCAGAAGAGCTAACTACTCTGAATCAGAACTTCTGATGGTGGGGGGAAAAATCAGTATAAATCCATTATCTACTGACTGGGAACAGAATAAGATTTCATTCTTAGAAAACTGGCAGTAAGATTTAACAGGAGAATGCTCATATGAGAAATGCAATGTGTTAAATTTTACTGAGAAGAAAAGAAAATTAACTACAATACGTGGTGCTTTCTAATGTTTTAAATCCAAACATTACCCTAGCCTTTAACAAGACTAGCAGTGTATACAGGGGAAGATTCTTAGCATTTTGGTTTCCACAGATTTGGTTTAACACATGAAAATTGTCATATTTAAAATATAATCAAATTATGCAGGTAAATGGCCCAAATGAACACTATATGTTCTCCAAATTCTGAATTTTTTGTTCAACAAATACCACTCTAGCAGATGACGAAACTACAACTACCTAAAATTACTACTAATTGATACTATCTAATCATACTCCTCCAGATAATACAAAAGCATGAAATAGAGATCTGAATTGCTTCAAATTTTCCACTTGAAGAGTGCTAAAATCCTTACTGTAGAAAACCTGTGATGCATTTCATGCTTTGTTTTAAGATGCTCCTCTGTGGAGTATAAACATTTTTTTATACTCAATACGGGTTCAGGATTGTAAAGATAATAGTTGCTGATGCCTGTATCCATTTGAGTAAATAAATTTTAAAAAATGAAGTATACACTGTGCTGCCAGAGGTGGAAATTTGAATTCTTCAGATATCTGCTTTTATGTAAACTACCTGATTATATCACTAAAACCATTTTGGAAATGACAAATGCAGTTTCAAAGTTTATTTTTGTTTTTTTTTTTTTTTTACTGGGATTAGTCAATAGTCTTGGGCAGCAAATGTGCAGAGTAAGCACCAGAGGAAACTGTGCTACGGAGTGAAAAATGACCTGTCCAACTGACAGAAATCCTGAACTGCCTTTGGGATGGCACTGGGGTAGGAGGCTGCTGCAAGCTATGGCAGCAGATGAACCTGCTTTTTACTGGCATTTGGAGTAGAGCTGTAATACTTAGTTCTGAAGCAGTAATCCTTTCTTGACTGGACCAGCTGCCCCATGCTCTAGTGCTCTCTTTGCAGTGGGATTAACAACATAAGGAAGGCTCTGTCTTGATGCTCTGGTACTGGGGAAGTCCTGTCTGACTCTAAGTCTGTTACTTCTATTCAAGATCCCGGGCTGTCTCACAGGAAGAATTTCTGTCAGAACCACTTGGAAATGCAGCATTAAATGTGGTCTTACTGTGAACATGGAAGACTTCTGCTTTGAGGCTTTAATAGTGGCAGATCAACAGCATTGAGGTCCTTGCAACCTGGGCCCAACTTTCTGCATCTTCACCATGTCCTGTTTGCAGTGATCTGTTCCTGTGGCTTAGCCCCAGAACTTTTCAGAGTTAGCAGCCTTAACAATTTCTTGAATATGAAGATTATTGTGTTCAAGTAATTCCTCTTCTGAATTTGTAGAAGTTTTGAGGTGAAGTTACTGGGATGCAAGAGTTTAAAATAGGAGTATTGGGTGTACATGTCAAGTGTTGGCAGTAGAGAACTTGTAGGGTGGCCTTTGTAAGAAAACAGCTGGTGCTGCCCTTGTATAGGACAGCCAGCCTGAACAGTCCCGCTACAGGACACTGCTGATCACATTAGCTGAGCTATTAGTGCTGCCTCTGGAAATCAATTAGAGAAAGCGTACAAAATGCTGCAAGAGAGCTGCAAGAGAAAAGTGAGATTATGTGAGAGCAATAGCCTTGCTGACACCAGGGTCAGGGCAAAAGAAGAGGAAGAAGGTGTTCCAGTCATTGGAGCAGAAGTTCTCCTGAAGCCTTGTTGCAATCCGGTTTAAATCCAGAAGAGCAAAGAAAATTAAGTCTCTGTGTATAAAATGGAAAGAACTTTTAAAACTGGAAATACACCTAAAAACATGATTAAAACCAAATGAGGTTAGATATTGGTGTTGAATAAATTTATTTAATAGGGAAGGGAAGGGAAGGGAAGGGAAGGGAAGGGAAGGGAAGGGAAGGGAA